GACCATCTTAAGAATGTATTTGACAAATTGAAAACTAATGATCAGATGAGTGTGAAATGACACAAGAACATGAAGGAATCAGAAGGTAACAAAAGAGAAAGACCAAAGTGGAGGCCAGAAGAAATTCTGAATCTTTCTCTAAAATGTAGAGTAGTTGAAGCAAATAGAAGAAACAATGAAGTGAACTAACTGAACAGAACATTTCAAAAGACAGTTCAAGAACCTTAAGCCAAAATACCCCCTAAGTTTTCTTAAAACTAAATAATAGAGATAATAGTTTAACTTAAGAAGTTATGAGGGAGGGGGGCACAGTGCACTAGAACTGATCATGATTGCATAGCTCATTTTAAAGGGGATTTAACCATGGGAGTGGGATGCTCTAAGTTAGATGTGGTGCTGATTATAAAATTCCCCGTGATATGATTGGACGATTGGAATATTAAATTGTATGATATGTAAATTATGTACCAATAAAATGGTCAGTGAATTAATTAATTAAAAAGAAAAAGTTAAGGAGTCTTCGTTATGAGTTAGGCTGATAACTGCAAGGTTGTGGGGGACCAGCCTATGCAACCAATAGAGTCCTAAGGAGCAGTGTAATTGAAAGGGAAGATTAAAGACAACAGACAAGGTATGCAAGGGCTGACCTCTTCCACCGAGCTGGAACCAGAAAGTGGGTGCAAATATATTCTCTAACAGGCTTATATAATCTCAGGCATGCAAGCCATGTCATACACATATGTAACAGAAAGGGGATATGCTAGAGGCATACCTGTAACTGGAAGGGTAGGTACTAGGGGCATACACTTGACAGGAAAGCACACACGTAATAGGGTGCGCAGTTCCCAGAGTGAAGATGGCCTCTTAACCTTGGTTGTCCCTGGGTTGACTTGACCTTACTTGTCCCTGATCTTTTCTCCAGGGGAACAATCTATGATCCTTATCAGTAGGGAGGGGCCTCCTTAGGGTGGGGCAAACAATAGGGTCTGATTGCTCTCCACCCCAGACAACCTTCAAGCATAGAGTGACTATGAGCTTGTAAGAAGCATCTTAACATTGGAGGACACTGTGGGGGATAACTTTTAGGAGAATGTAACAGATTCATCTCCAACTCACAAGCATGAAGGCCTCCCTCCACCAGAATCCTGTCATCTCAATAATGTATGAGCATAGATACTTTGTGTGCATACGTTCTCTTCCTGGGTCTCAGTTTCCCACACAAGGTAAGCAGTTCAAAACCACTAGCTACTCTGTAAAAAAAGAAGCAGCAGCAGCAGTTTAAGAAGACCAAGTATTACAATGTTGCCAGTTCAAATAAAGGACAGCCACTATAATGTCTTAAAATTTAGAAGAGTCTTTTATTAGGTTATAACCGGATTATGAGAATCTTAAGTGACTGCTTGATTGCAGTCCTGAGTGGACATTTCAGTTCATCTTTAAAGGCAAAAACTCATCTAAGACTTAGGCAAGTGTGGACAGAAGCAGAAAGCAAAATGAATGTTATTATTCTTTAGAGTTTAGTGAGCATTATAGGGTATGTTAGGTTTTTCAGGTTAGAAATACTTTGGTCCTAGGCTTTTGCACAAGAAAGAATCATGCAGAAGCCTGGTTTGTGATCCAAGTGGGTTTTTATAAAGCATAGAAGGAGTTTCAGCTTTTACACAGGCCCCCTCAGGGCACTTCACCCCCGTACGTGGAGACCTGAGGCCAGAGAAACTGGCAGCCTGGCCTGCTGAACTGTGTAGGAGCCGCTGGGAGGGAGAGCTGTGGTCTCAAAGTTTCTGGCTTTTAAGGGCCCTTCACTGGGAGGGACGGTGCTGGTACACCCCATTGGCTGAATTAAGGCCACCTGGCCTAGATTGGGTCAATCCAGGTGTACTGCCCACCTAGGTGTATTGCCCCTTCCTGCTCAGAGCCTGAATTTGGAGCATGCCCTCTAGCCTTCAGCAGCTTCTAACTTCCAGGAAGAGCCCCTGGGCAATGAGAGGAACAAACCCCTATCTGGCTACCTAACAGGTACAGCATTGATTATAATATCCTTGTTAATAAAATAAAAATAGTAGTATCTTGGTTACAACATCAAAAGGAATAATATTAATTACAATGTTCTGATCTCAGGAATAAAAGAGTAAATTCTAAAATCAATCACGAGTGGGACTTTCAGAGATGGGAGGGGGAAGGAGGAAGGTCATTCAGCAGTCAACAAGATGGCATTACAGTAGCTAGTGCCAGTCTGTCTCAATAATGAAATGTGCAAAGATCTGAAATTAGAAAAACAAAAGGGAATATAATATGCTCAGCATATTTCACACTAAAGATAGATTCAAGTCTCTAATTATAATTTTAGAAGGTTCTGTGGACAAAATACTAAATGATCCAGGAGGCACCAAAAGAAGAAGGTATGAAATTTACTCTAATGAAATTTAAAATTCTATACAATCTTCTGCTTCATATGTATCACCAAGATCATATTTTCCAACATGTTTTCCATGATCCTTTCTTTGTTTCTACTTTTGTAATCCATTATCAATAATTATCAATTCACATAGTCATTGAACTTTTAAAAAAGTCAACATTTAACCATTTCAAGAGATAGCAGATGATCAAGAATCAATGACCTGGGAGGAAAAAGTCTAAGTTGTACTGAAGTCCTTGGTAAAAGCAAGGCTCCAGGAATTTATGAAAGTAAAACGAAGTAGTCAAGGATTTAATGTTGCTCCAATCCACAGTCAATGGAAGCAGCCGTAGGGACATCCAATGGGAGGGTGGCGAGGGCAGGGAGAAGATACATAAAATAAAGTACAACATCTGATATCTGCTGCAGAAAACCTCTCCATTTGATACATCTGCTGCAGAAAACCTCTCCTAAGCATTGAAGAGCAAGGATGTCACTTTGAAGATGAAGGAGTGCCTGACCCAATCCATGGTATTTTCAGTTGCCTCGTATGCCATTGAAAAGGGGCAATGAGAAATGCAGATTAGGAAAGAAGTGATGCCCTTGATTTATGCTGCTGGTGAAAATATTGAAAGCACCCTAGGCAGCCAGAAAGAATAAATACACCTGTCTTGAAGGAAGTATAGTCAGAATGGTCCTCAGCAGAGAGGATGGCAAACACTGAGTCTTGCTTCCTTTGGATGTTATCAGGAGAGACGGGTCTCTGGAGAAGGACTTCATAAAGTAGAGAGGATCAGAGGAAAACCCTGACGCAGCACATAGGGACAGTGGGCTGAACGATAGCAACAATGACGAGGATGGCTCAGGACCAGGCCGCGGTTCCTGCTGTTGTACAAGAGGCTGCTGGGAGTCGGAGGCAGTTTGATGAGCACCCAGCAGCAACAACAACAGTAACAATTACCCTATCCACTGAAGACAAACTACTTCATCAGTTTATGCCAATACTATTAATTAAAATTCAATACTAACGGAGATTACTTAGCCGATTATGTATTAGGTAAATTCAATTCTCCTATCATTTTTCTTATGCCTTTTCACTGGTTTTGAAACATTGCACCATGTTTCCATCCATGTTGTTAGTCCATCTTTTTTGTTGTTGTTGTTGTTAGTCCATCTTGTTGGCATCTTTTTTCGTTCCTGTAGGAATCTTACTTGATCTCTGTCTCTCTTTTTAATATTAACTTTGTATGGAGACTGATGTGCATGCTTTTCAGTTATTCAGTTTTTACTTTAAATTAATGTCTCCAACACTGTGATAAGTTTATTTTGCCAACCTGGCCAATAGGAACATGAGGGTGGAGATTAATCAGGTGGAATTTGATTGGAGGACAAAGATATAATGGGCAAACTGCAACGTCGGCCCCCTTCTCTGCCTCAGCCTGTGTGCCATTACTACCTGTGGGCCAAGACAACACATGGATTTTGTCACTAGATCTTGAGGCTCCTTCAAGACCTGCTTGATGCAGACATCACTTGAGCTTGAGGCTGGTGGGTCCTGTCCTTTGGCATTACTTAAGTTTGGTATCCCATCTGGCCCAGCTCGGATGAGCTTCCAAGTTGCTTACTGGCAATTGTTCACCCACCCTGCCTGCAGGCAGACTCTTCCTGTTTTGCCCGAGGGAAGACTGGCTGTCTGCTTCCCGGACCTGGTAGAAGCCCTGTTGGTGAGCTGGAGGACTCATATAACTGTTCCACAAAAGTGAGTTGAACTGAGCCCTCTGTATTGCAGTGTGGACTAATGAGCTGTTATACTCCTTTTTGCTGTATAAATTTATCTATCTACCCATAAGTGTCCTGGTTTTGTTTCTCTAGAGAACCCTGCCTAACACAAACATTAAGAAAAGTATAATTTAATTTCATTTTCTTCATTTTCCACCTCTATAGTGCCATCTATTATTTTTACGAAGCATTAAAATACATGACAGCATATTTTCTGAGACCCTCTGAACGTATCTCCCCATTCTTCTCTTGTATCTATCCCTCTCTTGTGCCCTCTGTCCAGAATAGCAATGCCGCTAGGAAAAGAGATGTATGTACTTGTTATGTCTGAGGGTTTGTAAGGCCCAACTCCTCCGAGCCGAGCCCTTTTGCCATCTGACTGAGGACCCTTGAGCAAACCACCAGAGTTTCAGCTATTATTTTTATATTGGCATGCTGTGCTGTTCTGCTATTTATTTTAGGGTCTCCAAGTGTGTCCAGTATCCTGTTTCTTTGTTTTCCCCACGACAGATATTGATACCATTGATCTCTTCTAGCAGTTGGCGGTTTGTTGCAAATTGCTCGTGATTTCAGTTGATGGTGTTCCTGTATCATCTACTTTTGTTTTCGATATCATTTAAGGATTTTTGGTTTTACCAGCCTAGTTGTTCTGTGTGTTCTTAAGGGGGTATTTACAGAGTCAAATATTATACTGCCACTGCCATCATTCCCCAAAGTAAATCTCCTAAGGTTTTCTTTAATTTAATTTTTACTAATCATCACATACAAGAATATATTCTTCTTATAAAAAATAAAAAGAGGGAGCCGGCTTGGAGACGCCGTCGGGTGCTGGCGCGGCACGGGCAGCCATGGCGGCCGAGGAGGAAGTGATGGGCTCGGTGGACCCCGGGGAGAGGTCAGGATGGCTAACTGGTTGGCTTCCCACATGGTGCCCTACGTCCACATCACACCTTAAAGAAGCTGAAGAGAAAATTTTAAAATGTGTTCCCTGCACGTACAAAAAAGAGCCTGTTCCTATATCTAATGGAAACAAAATATGGACCCTGAAATTCTCTTTTTTTTTTTATGAATAAAATTTTAATAGTTGATTATTCAAATGACTATTTTCTCCCTTAAAATGCCAACAGAAAAATATTTTCATTTTCCCCAAAACATATATTATCTACAATATCCAAAACTAAGTGCTAAGATTATATATATATTTTTAAACATTTTATTAGGGGCTCATACAACTGTTATCCTAATCCATACACACATCAATTGTGTAAAGCGTATTTGTACATCATTTCTCAAAACATTTTCTCTCCATTTAAACCCCCGACAT